GCTTCCAGCCTGGCCGAAGGCTTTCTTCTGAGACCAGGTGGGACTCCCACCACCACACGCTGGAGTGCCCTCGGCGCCCCCCTTTCTCACTCCCCACTGCACCGTCCGGGCAGGGCCAGCGGCAGATACCGAGGCGAGGTGGGGGACTCCAACCCCCAGGAAGGGGAGGAGATGGTGGTCGCGCCCAGCGGGGCGGCGCAGCTGGCTGCGAACTTGGCGGGCGGCTCCGCGGGAGTTTAAAGCTCCGCGCCCCGCACTCTGCGCTGGACTGTCCCCGCGCGCTCGGGCGGCCGGCTGGGCCCTGCAAGCGAGAGGGAGAAAGAAAAGGAAGAGGGGGGAAAGGAGGGGAGGGGGGAGAAACGTGGAGTTTATTTGTCTCCCGATGGTTGTATTAATAAATTAAAAGAGGCTCCAGGAGGTGAGGGCGAGAGAATCTTGTGTGGAGATAAACCTCGCCGGCCCGGCCCCTTCGAGGCCGCCATATACAAGGCGGAGATGATGAATAGGAGCCGCGAGAGGAGATCGAAGCGGGCCTGGGCTGGCTCCACTCTCTCCTACAAAACTATAGGGCAATTAATTGTGGCTTGTCCCCTCATCCTTCATCTCCTGGTGGCACATATCGATGGAGATTACTGCTGATGGACCATTTTATCACCTTAAATAAACAGTCGCCACCTCTTCTAACCTCAATCTAATATATGGCTCTATGTTCAGTTTCAGGGCACTAGATAACGAATGATGTAAAATAGCTAAATCACGTGTGTTACGGGACGGGGCTGGGCAAACAGATAAAAAAGAGAAAAAGAAAAATAGAACAACACAAAAGCCCTCACGTTCACACTGACCACTGATGTGGGACCTATGCCTCCCTCCCACAAGCAGCAGGTCCGAAATCCAATTCGCTGACAAGCCATTGACCTAGGGCCTCTGAGGGGGCAGGCGGGGAGTGGGGAGGAGGAAGGAGCGGCCGGCCGCTGTGCCTCAGTGGCAGAGGGAGCCCGCTTTCGGGTCGTTGAACCCAGGACTCCCGAATAACTCGACTACTTCAACGCAGTGGGGGCAAACTGGGGAAAGAAGGGAATTTACTCTCCTCCTGCCCTCGAGTTGTTTTTGTACTCTCCCCGGACAAACTAAGGCTGGGTCCAAATGTCCTTCTCTTTCCAGCCCACCCCCACCCCACACCCCACCCCCAGTCTCCGAAGCCAATATTGCCAGCAGGAGGCTCTCCAACCCTGCTTGTCCACCCATCCCCAGGCCAGTGCGGTTCCCAGGGCTGTTCCTGTATTACAGGGGTCCTTCAATCCTCAGGGGACCGAGAAAGGCCCCCACCTGGAGACGTTGCACAGTGGCTCAATTTTCCAGGTAGCCATGGAGGGAGGGCTTAGTTCTTTCCTTGGCAAACATGGAAGAGAAGTGCACTTTCTGTCTCTGTCTCTCTCTGTGTGTGTCTATCTCTCTCACACACAGTATGAAAAACTAATTGCATCAGCTGGTACAGGACCTGTGATGAAACACCAGGCCACCTTCCAAAGGGTGGAGACCTCAGACAACACCCTGGCGCACACAAACCAGGGACAGGCCACTGCAACCCAGCCTGACGCCATCAGTGGTCAAAGGGAGCTCAGCAGCCAGTGAGGATAGCAATGCAAGATCCCCCTCCCCCTTATATAACACATCATTTGACTTTAGAGAAGGAACAAGCGACAGCTAAGTATTCGCAGCTTCAGGGTAAA